TCGCATCGCTTCTCATTGCGGCACTCTACGTCACTGAGAGGAATGGAAATACCCTGGGAAAGCCAGACACCGAATCCACCCCTGGAAGTTATCTCAGAGGACCTCTTTGCTTGCAATTTCTGCCTGCCCATCCTCACGTGGGAACCGCTTCCTCTGAAATGCCAGCTGGGAAACTCCCGACAGCATGAAATCAAAGCATCTTCCACGACATCTAGAGCACCACACGGTAACTCACACTCCCCGGGCTCCGTGGCACTTACTGCAAGAGGATTTGACAGCCGCAGTCAGGAAAGCATCTCCGTTACCACCATGTGCCAGCACATCAGCTGAGCCACTGACAGGGGTAAGTGCTAATGCTATGCCAACAAAGCAAGTCACCGCTTGTCATTAGCAAACATTAGTTAAATCTAGGCGGGGGGGGGAGAAGGGGGAAATCAAGTTCAGCGAGTTTAATTTGTTGAGCTGACAGTATTTATTTCAGTGGGATGTTTATTAACGCCAGAATATTTTAGTTTCACTTGCTTCCCACAAAACAGAGGAGTTTACCACCTCCCGTTTGCTCCCCAGCCGCACCTCTGAGACAGGACAGGGTTGCAGCCAACTGCATGAGTGAGACACGCTGCTTGGAGAAGCCACCTCCCCATCGCAGCAAAACTTGTGCTCCTTATCAGCCTCGACTGCTGAGGTCGGGAAGAGCAGCACCATGAGCTGTCATAACCCAATGCTACAAGTAACAATACGCTTCTGCTTCCTCCGCTGTTCAGCAAAGTGACCCTCTGGGGCAGCAGCCAGCACGGTCTCCTGAGCAGCCAGGCTGCAAAGCAACTTTCTGAGGAGCTGCAGAGGAGGGCAGGAGGACCCTGACTCACTGTGGGGTCACCAGCATGGAAATCTCCATCCCAGAGGCACAAGTGGCAAAACCCTACGTAGCCCAAATCCCTGCCATGCTCCGTGGCGCACAGACTCCGCTCGCCAGGCTCTTTGAAATGCGGGAGTCCTTGCCCAGAGATGCTGTGCACACCAGACATCTGCCTGGGCTCAAAGGTGACCAAACCCATGATGGCAAACCCATCACAGCAATTAAACAAATGGATTCCATCTGTGATCCAAAAATCCTGCCTGAGACACAAAGCATGTCCTGGGCGCTGCGAACAGCTGCTCTGACCTCCTGCAGCTGCTCCTGAACTCTTACCTTCCTCGCCACGCTAAGCTGCTTTAAACACAGAGGTAATAGGGCTTGGAGTGAGAGTCTTGGAGCACCTATCATTCCCAGTAATAAAATACAGCAAATTAATTGCACTTTATTGATTTTTTTTTTTTAATGTAACTATTTTGGCATTCAAAGCTCAAGAGATTCTATTGATCAGTCAAAATCAGGTGTCAGTGAAAGGAGTTTTATGACCAAGCCTGACAAATTGAAGAAAATAATCAAAACCTGAAAACAGCGAGTGATGTGGACTTCCCCATTTCAAATATACAAAGGCTGCTGCAACATCAGTGACAGGATATTTTTGAAGTGAAAAATGCTGCGCAGGGCAAGTCACACAGTTGCCTCCTGCGTTCCCAGAGAGCCCAACACCGATCACAGCAGCGACGCATAAATCCAGAGCAGCTTCACTGACTTCAGAGGAGCTGCTCTAGATTTACACTGATGGGAAGTAAAATCAGAATATCTGAAATATATTGCTCTAATGGATACTGGAGTGAGAGCCAGTACAATAATTTCAGACTTCTCCCCCCACCACACTATCCCCCAAATCACATCAGTTTGGACAGTCATTGCATAAAATGTTGATATCTGCACAAACGTGGGGAAAATAACCTACATCTCAACAGTTTGTACGATCACATTCTGCAAATCTATTGTACAGTAGATAATACAAGTCTTTCATTTTTGTTCCTGAAGATCCTCTGCATAAAAAAATGCCTCCATATTATGTAGAGTGATACAGGGACACATAATAAAATAAGCATAATGTCTCCCCACACACGCCTCCCCGGAGCCAGAGTCTAAAAAGCAATTCACAGGTCCTTCCCCACGCACGCATCACGACAGCCCAAGTGCATCTCACAGGGGCTGAGGCAGTCGGTTCCTTCGATAAGCTTTGCACACCCCGTCCCCCCCCGCCGCCAGCCCCGAGTTCCCACGCCTGCGCCGAGGTGCGCGGCACTGCCCGCGCCGGTGAGACAGCATCGGGCAGGAAAACAAAACATTCAGGTAATTCATCCAGGGCATTCACAGGATACCTATTCATACAACCTCGGAGACAGCTCCGCCACCGCCGCCAGCAAGGAAGGCGGCCAAAAACCCTGCCTAGATGCCAGCAACAAACGGGGGCCCGCTGCCAGCAAGAGACATCCTCGAGCTCGGCGTGAGCGGCCTTCGGCTGCCAAACACACACGCACACCCTCTGCTCGCAGCCGCACGCGCGCCAGCAGCCAGGCCACCAGAGACCCGGGGACAGGAGAGTGATCTCTTAATTGGACCTTCACAAAGCTATTTAGGGGACCTGCCTGACAGGCAAACAAATGCCACCCGCTTCGAAGATGCTGGAAGAAACGAAGCCAGCGCACCTCCGATCCCCGAAACGCAGCCTGCCCAGAGCCGGCCCCGGCAAGGGGGAAGGGAGCAAAGGCAAATAAATAGAGAAAAATGGCAAGTGCCCAACGCGACCGTCTGTGTGAGCTGGGAGCTTTGCAGAGATGGCAGCACCACGGCATGACTCATGCAGGTGTCTCTCCCATCTGCAACAACCCAAACCAAGATGTGGTTCGTTAACCCCTGTAATCCAGAGGATAAAAGGCAACTTGGAGCTCAGCGAGCCACGGGAAGGTCAGCGCAGCCCCCGAGGGAGGCGTTCCTGGGCACTGCCGCCACTCTCCTCTTTCGGAAGAGGTTTCCCCAGATCCCAAACCCCCTCTCCACACGCAGACGTTGCTGCGGTCCAGCCCAGGGGTGGGACAGGGCAGGGGCAGTGCTCCGCTGTGAAAGCAAAGGGATGCTAGAGAGGAGAGAGAGGCACAAGCTGGGGCTGGATTCATTATTCACAGCTTGAGCTGAAAGCGCACTGCGAGTTTCTAACGTGCACATTGTGCAGGGAGGCATTCAAAGAGCAAGGGAGAGGGATGGGTACGACGGTAGGTTTGCAGCTACAAACTGTTTCAAAGTGGGTTTCCATATGTTTAAGGACTCAGAGAGCTGGAAGAATTACTCCCACAGCCCAATCTCACCATGGTAGCTACCCACACAGAAGGAGATGGGAGGGGGGAATATCAGCAAAAAGATTATCATTAATGTGTCAATGCAATAAAAAAAAAAATACCACAAAAAAAAAAAAAAAAACCACAGAAAGCCTGCTTCATTGCTGCTCTTAACTCCTCGAATAAAAGGAGAGCTTTTCACAGTACAGGGCATCACACTGGCAACGGAAAGCCACAGCTCTGCCGGGGCAGCACTGACCCGCAGGCAGCACATACCCTGCACCCCAAACCCTGCGCCCCACGCTCTGCACCCCAGTCCCTGTGCCCTGCTCAACAGGATTTCCAAGCGCTCCTGTGGCCACACACACGCCAGGGGAAGGAGGGAGCCGGAGGGCAGGGGCAAGCAGTTGCTTTCTGGGGCAAGCAGTGAAAAGATCCCCTTCTGTCCCTCACACATGTGCCCCCAAGGCTGTCCCTCCTTCCTCACAAATTGTTCCTACTGTCCCTGTAGGGACCCTTCCTGAAACACTTCCCTACCACAATGCATTCCCTGTGCCCTCCCCAGGAACAACAGCTGCTGCTATTACCCCTCCCACGGATCACTCCTTTTTCACCTAAAATCCTCGCTTTTAGGCATATTCCTAAAGCCCCACTGAAGTTTCCCCAGCAGCCCAGGCTCCACGCTACCGCCAAATGCGAGCACCATCCCGAGCAACAGTAAAGGCAAACGAATTGCTGAGCAACTTCAGCACTGATGCACCTTAATTAATTTGCTTTTAACAACCCCTATTTATTAAGAACAACATCTGCCAGGGAGCTCACATAAGCAAGCGGAGAAAAACGCGCCAGGAGAGAAGTCCTGCAAAGACTTTCCCGGGGGCAGCGCTTTGGCTTGCCAGCCTGGGGGTGAGCCTTTCCCCAGCAAACGCCCACAACTGGGACCCAAAAGGCCGCTCCCGGGTTCAGCTGGGGGGCAAAGGGGAGGGGGGAAGGAAGAGACAAATAAAAGGAAAAAAAGCAAAATGCTCCAAGCCGCACTCTCCCAAGCCCCAGGTGCGCTGCCTCCCAGCTGGCCACAATTAGGAAACAACCCCCACCCCTCCCAGCTCACCTAAGGGCCTGATCCTGCCCCCCGCCAGCCCACGGAAACCCTCTCTCCTTAAAATGAAACGCAGCAAAGGCGGCACAAGTATTATTTTACCAAATAAATGTAACTTCCGTACATCTTTTCCCCCCACACACCCACCCGAGGACAGCCAGAGGCGGCAAGGAGCAACAAGCAACACGGAGGAGCGGGGGGCCGGGACCCCCGTGGGAAGCCCCCACACTGCCACCCTTCCCCGGCCCCCAGCGCTCTGGGAAGCCCAAACTTTTCCTTCCCCCCACCCGACAGCGGCCGAAGCCGCGGGGCAGCCCCCACGCAGGGGGCCGGGACCCCGCGCCACGCGTGGCAGAGGACACACACGAGAAGGCGACTGTGGCCACAGCGGGGGGTGGGGATGCCGCGGTGAAGGTGGAGGGGGACAACTTTGTGGGATCTGCGTGTGTCCCATCCGCGGGCGCGCAGAGCAGCGCGGAGCGGCCGGGGGCCCTACCGCCCTCCGCAGCCACATCGGTGAGAGGGCTGGAAAAGGGGAAACAGCCATAAATAAAAATAGGAGGGGGGGGGGGTGGGGGGGGAGGGAAATAAAATAAGTAAAAGGAGTTTAAAAAAAAAAAAAAAAAGAAACAAAAAAAAAAAAAAAAAAAAAAAAAAAAAGGAAACAAGCCGGGGTCGCGGCGGCGGAACCGGGGGTTACCTCGGCACAGGAGCAGCAGCGGCGCCAGGAGCAGCGCGGGGACCCGGGAGCGCATCCTCTTTGTTCCATGCCCAGAAGTAGTCATGGTGCTGATTTATTTGGAGAGGGGCGGCTTAACGGGGCGGCGGGGGGGGAGTGTGGGGGACCGGGGGGTGTCGCGGTGGAGCCGCTAAACCACTCCCCCCGCGCCTGCCCGCTCCCCTCCGTTGCGCGGCTCCGGCCGGCGGCGGGGCCGGGCACCCCGCGGGGGGGGGGGGGGGGGGTGTCCCCGCTCCCCGCCGGCCCCACGTTCACGGCCGCCCCCGCCGCATCGCATGGGGGGGGGGGAAACAACCGGCGCCGCCCCCGCCCGCCGCGGCAGCAGCGCTTCCCGGGGGCAGCCGGGCGCTGCGGCGGCGCGGACGGACGGACGGACCGACCGACCGGGGCTGGGCTGGCACCGCCGGGCTCACCTGCGGGGGGGGGGGGGGGGGGGGGGGTTGGGGTGGGGTGGGCCCCCCGCAGGTGCCCCTCGGACCCCCTGTTTGGGCGGGGGGGGGGAGGTGGCCGCCGCGGCTTGGACACGCGTGTCTCAGGAACGCGCAGGGGGGGAGCGAGCAGGGGCAGGGGAGCCCCGTGTGCCGTTTTCTGTACGACACCCCCTGCCCGCCCCCCCCCCACCCCCCCGCCTTTGCTGGGGGCGCGGGGAAGTTTCTCACCGCCGGTGGGCTGGGGCCGGGCCGGCACCCCCTGAGCGGGCAGCGGGAAAACGCGCGGGGCGGGGGGGGAGTGGGGGGTCCCTCAGCGGCCGCGGAGCGCCGGGAAGAGCACGGCTCCCCCCTCGTGGCCGCCGGCGTCACTGCGCGTGGGTGCGCAAAGCGAAGGCGGGGGGGGGATGGGGGGGGGCGTGCAAAGGGCATCCACGGGGGCGGGCGGGGAATTGTGCGAAGGAATGCGCGCAGGAGCTTGCAAAGGGCACCCCGAGGGGTCCGCAGGGGGAGTGGGAGGGGGGTCACGGGGGGTGCCCAGGCACGGCCAGGGCGAGCTGCGTGTCCGCAGCACCCGTGGGCAGCGCGGCAAGCGGAGCTTTAGTGCCGAAGCCGAGGGCTGCCCGTCTGCTCGGAACCCCTACCCTCGAGTCCAAAAATAACCCACTGCTGGAACCAATATTTCACTGAAAATAAACTCAGCCCTTTAAGAGCTGAGAGTTGTTACTCAGATAGCAATAAAAACAGCGAGATAGGAAAAGAAAAGGAAAAACTAAAAAAAAAAAAAAAATCCCCTTGGGTTCTTCTGCAGCTTTGCAAACATGTCTCCGAGTTTGATTTTTTTTTCCCCTCCCTGCATAAACAACCTTTTATGTAGTACTTGCTGTAATCTTGTTTGCCTCCATAACCACTCCTATGAATGTCATAAAAAATTTAAGTCTAATATTTTACCACACCACACAAACAGAAACGTGAATAAATGCTTATCTTGCACGTAGGGGAAATGTTGTATGGTGGCAGGAGAGTCACGCACACAGAAATCGAACACAGGCTGGAGGAACTGGGCCCACACAGATGGGGAAAAAAACCTAGAAAGCTTTAGTCTCCTCAAAGAAGGTAAAACTAATAAATTAAGAAGAAAAAAAAAAAAAAAGCAAAAACCCACAGAACTGCAGTAATGAAGATCATCTTGCTGTCTGCACTTGGTACTTGATATAATAAAATACAACAGGAACATTTAGCTGCTAGTGGGAACTTAGCAATCCAAAATAAGTTAATTATCTACTTTAGACATCCCCATTTCTTTCTTGGGGAGTGCGGGGGGGAGAACCCTCACTTTGCTGTGAGCAGCCTGGCAGAGCTACACGCACTGCCCCGTCCCCCGGCAAGTTGACGTGAGGCTTGTGCCCCTATGAAAGGGGGGTGCAACGGGCACCCAAAAGCTATCTGTAAGCTTTGCCCTGCAGCCCGGCTGCAGCAGCACGGGGCAGGGGGGTTACAGGCGCCCAGATCAGTACCAGACAATTCTCTTTTGCAGCTCAAAACCAGAGATACCCCCCAACCAGAGCACACGGGACCAGCACCTTCTCCCATCCCCCTCGTCACACCTGCAAAGCCTGCACACAGCCAAGGGCCTTGACCACAACCCTACCTTTATAGCAACACTGGAAAAAAATTAGGCTTTATTCTGGCATTACTACACATTTTTAAGCGTTCTTTTATAATGAGAATTTGAAAGAAAATCCAAAGGGAAAAATTTTGTAGACTGAAAAAGTGCTGACAAGGACCCAATCCTACTTACACAAATCCAGGTGCACTGGCCGGGAGGTGCTCAGCCCCAATCCTGTTAGCTGCACATGGGACTAGTCTGGTGAATACTTTTCCAAACTTGAGATTAAGATGAACAGCAAAGCTGTACTGATTCACATGCCTCTCTCAGCAAAATAAAACTGTAAAACGTACTCCCCCTCTCCACAACCTTCCTTAATGCTTTTATTGTCTTAATTAAGGCTAATATCATTCAGGTGACAGTGAAGTGGAAACAGGTGATTCCTCTGCAGATTGTAAAATGGTTGTTCTGGCATTGCCCTATCCTCTTCCTGCAGGTTAGTTTGTTTGTGTTGCAAGAAACAAACCATAACAAAATAAAATACAAACAATAATAAACTCTTTTGAAGGTTTTGCCTCTGAACTCTAGGGACTGTGTACAAATAAAGAGGTGAAACCAGAAGTTGTCACAGAGAAAGAGCATCAGAATTAGAGATTTTCCAGCACAGAAAGCACCTTGCAGGGTAAGCCCATGGCAGAGGAGTTGCTCCCATAACAGGGGCTACGGGGGATTGCTGCAGGCGTTTCAGTGGGAGAGCAAACCCCTTGGAGAATCCAGCTGATCACTAACTATAAGGGCAACAAGGATTTATTTCCTTTGCTGAGTTTAAAAGGGGTGTGAGAAAACAGAAGGGGATTATTGGGGAATAAAAACAGCGTAAGGAAGAATTGCAGATGAATCATCTAAATAAATAGCTACAGCTGATGAAGCGCAGCTTCCTCGTCAAAGCAACAGGACAATAAATGCTCATTGACTGAGTCTGCACAATTCATTGGAGCTTCTGGTTTCTGAATCAGGCGCTGAGCCGTTTCCAAGCTCCTTAGCTGGCTTACAGCATAGCTTGTCTTTTCCTATCTTCTTCTGGTGCAAGAGCAGCAAAAGCGGAGTGAGAAGATGCCGCCGAGACAGCCGAGCCACCCAGAGCCTGTTGGTGCCATAATCTGGGTCTCCCATATGTGATCCTCAAAATAATTCTTCTCCCAAAGGAGATTTTCTTTTAAGTTATTCCGGTAGGATGTTGCTATACTTTGTTTGTGCCGGCATGATTTTGCACACAGAGGCAACCTGTGTTATGAAAGACTTGAAAGACTTTGCAGCATTATGGAAAGCTGTTGGTTTTTTACATCACTCAAATGTCAAAAGACTGAAGGTTTTGGGAGTGCCCCTAGGTAAACAGTAAGGGCGAGAATTTTGAAGAGATCTTCGTGTATTAGGAGGCAAAAACTCAGCTGGGAGTTAAGGGGAGATAAGGATGGAGGCTGGGTCCTGGGCTGTGTTTAGACACTTATTTCCTAGAGGGAATAAGAAGCCTGAACACCCCCGGGGTTCTGTACGGCACACAGGGGATTGCAGAAATGCCATCACTTGGGCTACATTTGGCTGGTGTGGTCCCCACCTACTCAAAGTAGGGTGAAAAAGGGACCCCCTCTCTGGGAAGGCTGGGGGGACCTCCCCATCCTGCCCCATCTCCCCTGAGCACAATGGAGCTGCCACCCTGCTGATAAGGGCAGCAAGAGTTGAATATTTTCTTGTGCCAGCTTTTGTGTTTAATAACGATGGGAAAAAATTACACTTAATTACACTTTGAGGTGTGTTACAGTATTTGAAAGCTCCCCATAGCTTTTATCACTTTGTACCCTTGTGGCCAAACTCGTTAGATTAGCATTTATTATAAAAGTCTGCCAGACCTAAAAACAGTTAGGCGATTCCAAAAAAAAACAAACCAAATTTGTTCTAAATCTGCTGGTTTGTGGACCACTAAAGCAACTTGTGAATCCAGGTGAAACCCTGAAAACAGTTTTGTCTGGGGAGAGAAAATGGTAACATCTAAATATTTTTGGTGCTTTTGACTGGAAATACTTTGATTTTGTATGTTGGGTAGCCTTTGGAAATTTACCATAGTTGTTTAGTGTAGTTTTAAGTAAAAAGGACGACCTTATAGGAAAGCAAAACACTTTATTCCCAGCTGGACAAGTCATGACCTGCAGCATGCTGTGAAATCAGAGGGGCTGCGTTCATCAAGGCATCAGGTGCCTCTAAAACAAGGAAACCTGTGAGCAGGTCTGGAAAAAAGGGACTAAAACCAGGTCCCATCTGCTCTGCGGGGTGCCTCGGCACCACAACCTGCAGTTAGGTCCCCGATGAGTCCAACCTGGTGGCTGTCCCCAGGGGCAAGATTGGGAAAAAACTGCTATTTTAGCTTGTGGATTTGCCACTACTGAAATCTGCCGGGCACTGCCTGAAGGGTGGGAAGAGGCTTTGACGGGACCAAGGTGAAAGTTGCTTCTGTTTTAGCATTTCCTCCTTTAAGTGCTCAGAGCTTGTGAACAAATGAGGGCACCTTGTCCTTGCGATTTAGCTCCAGGAAGGAAACCTCAGCAATGGAGAGAAGCAAAATCCAGTCCCCACGGATATCCCTGGGGCTCTGCAGACATGGCAGCAAGCGGTGCGGCACGCTCGGGCTCTGACGCCCTGCGAGAGCCCCGCGCCACGTTGCTCAGTGCAGGCATCCCGGGTGGAAACGTGAAAGGCTGCGGCAGGAGCCGCCAGCCTGCTCAAGCTCGGCTATTAATCGGCACCAACTGGAAGCTGCAAGTCAGTCAGCCGGTTTCCTTGCAAGAAGCCGCCCGAGTGCTGTGTGCAGAGAGCAGATAGCCAGAAACTCTGACAGTGGTGCCATCTGGTCTCCTTAGAAAGCCTGGTTCATTTAGAGCATCATTAAGGCATGCTGTCCCATCAGACCATGTCTGCTGACTGCTTGCTTGCAAGTTGCAAGAAGGAGTGTTAGCTCCAGGTCAGAGAAAGCCCAGATTTTGCAAAAATGTAATTGCATCCATTTTGCAATGTTGGAAAACACTGGGGTAATGAATCCTCGGTCTGTAGGACTGAGACTGGTGCATCGCTGGTGGCTGCTGGTGTGGAAGTTATTGCCAG